ATGTAAAAAAACTTCAAATATAACATAAGTTAACTTAAAATATATTTTAAAGACGACTTTCTTATTTACACAATTTTCTTAAAAACTATTGAAATCAGTAATGTAATAAAAAAAAATCATAGTTTAGTGTTTTTTTTTTCATATATGCATATGTATTAATAATAGTGTAACATGAAATTAAGTTTGATGACTTTTTCAATAATTATCTTAGAAATAATTTTTATTTAAGTTATTGAAATAAATTTTTAAACTTCTAAATGCCTTTTCGCTATACACACCAAGAGTTTTATCATTCAGAACCGTTCTCAATGGGAGATTGTTATGTCATTTTAACACAAGGAATAATCACTTTCTGCAAATTGTAACTAATCACTTTATAGGTAAGCAGAAAGTATAAATTACTTGCAATATTTTTCATCTAATCACTTCAATTATCATTTGTATCTTGCTAGATAAAAGGGGATATAAATGCATCTCGACAATGTTCTTTGTTTCCCTCTACTTTTACAAGTCCCACCTTGAGCACAAAATAAAGTAACCAATTCTTTATAACCATCTGACAAGATTGTCAGCTTGCCGAGCTGGGTTACGCTAGCTTGTTACTCTTGTGAGGGCATTATGGTGATGGGATATCTCTGTGGCTTGTTGGGTTGGGCTTTGATTGCAATGTGTTGGCCTGCCCATTCCAAGTTAAGAGTTGACTCATGGGATTTGGACGAAGGTCTTGATCTCTTGGGTCTTAGAGAGGAGGGCAATGCGTGAGGCTGGATTCACAGTGCAGCGAAAACCTCCCTCTCCCAACAGTGGAGGGGATAACAAGCCGCTGCTATCACTGTCCACTATGCCCTAGTGAGCCTAGCTTGCTTAGACCATCACTTTTTCTTTTTCAGAACCCTGATGAACAACCATATGTCAACAACATCAATTGCTGCTATCATTCTCTGAGTGAATCTCTTAAATTTGTAACTTAGCTAATTGATGGAAGATCATTTATGCCACAATACAGTATTCGGACTCTTTTTCTATTTTTTATTTGCTTTGTAAAAATATTGTAAATATTGTGTAGGCTTTAATTCTTTCTTTTTTAATAAAATTAGAACTAAAAAAGACACACACCTCTTAGAGTAGTTATGATGGACCATATCACATCTTGGACAAGCCACTTGAAGATTGGGAACAATCCTCATACTTGAAAAGGAAAATTTGTGTAGAAGGAAAAATTAATCCCACGTCCCATAAGGTAACGAGTAAGTAGAGGAGAAATATCTATAAATATTGTTTTTTAACTTAATGAGTATTGGGAAGTTGACTTTTTTTCTTTTTTTTTTTACTTTGGGAGAATTGTCTCCAACCTTTCTGAAGAATTTGAAAAATAGTTTTAGTTGTTTTTTAAGGCTCAAAATGGAAGGAGAAGTTTATTTCTATTACTAATGTATTAAGAAGATTAGTAGGTAATTTGTTTCCTTCTAATCTTATTTTGGACCTTATTTTTTCAAAAATGTCATTTTTGGTGTTTAAATAATGTTAAAATACTCATATTTCATTTTTTTTACTCATACGATGGTATTTAATGTTATTAAAATTTAAATATTACATTGAGAATTATTTTGAACATCCTTACTTAATATATTAGATATAATATGTTTATTTTGGGATATTGAATTAATATTATACATGAAATTTTGTTAAATTCAAGTATATAAAATTAGAGAACAATCACAATAATTTAATGTCACTAGAGGGCTATTAATGGGTATTTTCAATGGATAGGTTAAAAAATCTAAAAAATATAGGTTTTATCATTCATCTCATTACACTAAAATTGTATAATCAATAAATGAAAAGTTCATTGAAAAATGATTTGATTCAATATATTAGTTTTAAAAAAAATCATAGTAAAGTTTTAACCTTCCTAATTAAATGATAGAGGATTAAGCTCCTCTGGTTCAAAAACATGTTAAATAGTTAATAATTTAAATTTCACAAATGATTGAAAATATAATGTAAATCAAGTTTTTGACTGAGAGTAACAAGTAACAAATAATAAATAAATATTGAACAATCTTTTAAGCAACCAATTAAAAACGAATTTTTCATCAAGGGAACGAGGAAGCATTGAAAATATTTACTAAAATCAAAAGATTGATAATTTTCAATAATTATGATGTGTATTTACAAGAAATAGATTATTATTATTATATTAGAGTTAAAATTTATCTTGAAATATTTTTATAAGCCATGAGTTCTAAAGAATTAAATATGTTATGAATGATCAGATGGATTCTATGACGTGTCTAATCAAATATGAGATCTTGTTCACTTACTTAATGGTACAAAATCTATTAGATATGGACAAATATTTAAAACTAAAAAAGACTTACAAATTAATATTAAGAAACATCTATTGTCAAATTCGCTTAGAGTGAAGGGGTAAATTACAAGAAGACATTTTCTCCTATTTTTACAAAATATTCTCTTCAAGAAATAATGACATTAACCACTCATTTTGATTTTGAGTTACATTAAATAGATGTAAAAATAATATTCCTCTAGAAAATTAGGTTTATATTAAATAATCTTTTTTTCTAATAATGGGGAGCATTTAGTCTGCAACCGTGATAAATTTATATATGAATTAAAACAAGTCTCATAACAATAGTGTTTATACATCATGAAGTTATATCTTTATTTGATTTTTAAGAGAACGTCATGAATAAACATATATACTATAAGGTTAGTGGGAGTAAAATTTCTTTTCTTATTTTATTTGTGGATAATATTTTACTTATGATGAATAACAAAAGTATATTATATGAGGTGAAACAATTTTTCTAAAAGAACTTTGATATGAAGGATAAGGAAGAGACATCTTATATCATAAGCATTAAGCTATATAGAAAGATCTTGAAGTATTTTGAGTTTATCTCAAGAGACCTATATCAACAATGTTGAGAGATTTAACATTAATTATTGTTCAGCAAGTGTGTCTCTCGTTATGAAGGCATTATGAAGGGTGATAGACTTGAATTAAGTCAATGCTTAAAAAATTATATTGAGTTGAAACACATGAAAAGTATTTTATATAGTTGAGTTGTTAGAAGTCTTATGTATGCTTAAAGTTTACACTAAACTTGATATTGCATTTACAATTGAAGTTTTGGGAAGATATCATAATAATCCAATTGTTGATCATTAGAAAGCTATAAAAGAAGGTAATGAGAAATCTTTAAGGAATAAAGAATTTCACATTCATAGAACAAACTATTAATTTGGAAGTGATAAGTTACTCTAATTTACACTTTTTTTGTTACATTCATACTAAAAAAATTTACATCTAATCACCTTTTTATACTAGCTTGTGAAGTTATCTTCCCGCATTAGAAAACAAATCTTAACTTTTATTTTCTTGTGGAGATTGAGATTGTTTCCTTTTTTAAGGCTTAAATGATGTTTGATTAAAGAATTTTATATCTAAGTTTAGAATTGTAAACATAAATAATGAGTCATTAAAGTTATATTGTGATAACTCTAATGCACTAAGAATATCAAGAGTAGAAATTGAAATAAATAATGGAGATTAAATATCTAGTCACAAGAAAATTTGTTAAGAATATCAAGAGTAGAAATTGAAATAAATAATGGAGATTAAATATCTAGTCACAAGAAAATTTGTTAAGAAAAATAAAGTAGAAATTGAACATAATAACATTGAGTTGACAATTATATATCCTTTAACTAAAGATATATCATCAAAAAATTTTAAGTGTAACTTAACACAAATATCACGATGTGACTATCATTCTAAATATTTTTATTTTAAACTTATTTGGTTTAATATTTTCTTATTTATTTTGTGAATTTTTTTTTTTTTTTGGAAAACTCATTTAAATATGATAGAATGAACCTAGTATATATTCACTAAGAGATGAAGAATTTAGGATGAAAGACGTAATATATTGTATTACGTAGGAAATAATATTCACTGTTATAGGATTTATATGATATATTTAGTTTCTCATTTTAATTGATAGTGAAATCAATTGATCAAGTTGGAGAATATTAACCTTAACATATAGAAACTACATCCCAACGCATTGAAATTGCATCCCATAAATTAAGAAAAATGTTTCAAACTTTGTTTTCTCACTCACGTTTATGCTAAATCTAGTCCATTATTAGGTTAGATTTAGTCCATCATCAAACAATATGTGGATATGGGTCATAACTTTTCCTTATTTTTTTTTCAAGGTTCATAACTCCATATCTCCATATGATGATTTAACACTGACAACAATCGTGACAAAAACAATGGTGGAAAGTTGGTTTATATGCTTCCGCACTTTAAGAGCTTATTTATTTTGGTTTTGTTTTTTAGTTTTTAAAAACAATTGTAGAGATCAGTTTTGAAAAACTTTTTTGAAAATAAGTTAGAAAAAAAAACTTATTTGATATCTTTATTTTTAAAAAATTATTTGAAATGAAAAGGCATCATATAGATGATCATAAAATGTCATAACAAAAATTAAAAAATGAATTTGATAGTTTTATAATATCGAAAAATAAATTATTTAATATGATTATTATGTAATACGTTGATATTTATTAATGAAAGCAAAAACTACAATAAAAAAAACACCTTGTATAATTTTTTTTAACTAAAAACCAAAAACTCTTTTAACAAAACATTTTAAAAACTAAATCCGAAAATTATTTTTAAACACAATAAACAACAAGTTTTAAATCTATCTAAATTGTTTTGTGTTTATTTGACAAGTTTAGATAATTATATTTTATCATTTGATATATGTTTCTTTAACATATTTAAGATTATTAGAATTATATTCTATATGTTATTTACTAAATCCAAGCATCATGTAAAAAATCCAAAACCAAAAACATTTTTTCCTACTTAAAAAAAAACAAATACAAATACAACTACATTCAGACTGTAAAAGTTATATTACACTTCAACAACCCAGCATTCAATAGATAGTGAGACGTCACAACTTCATTCCTTGGCCAAATTCTTCAATAGTTTTTGTGGCAAGTGTCAGGACATCTACAAAAGCACTAAATGATGCTCGAAGAAATCTCGCTTCTGTTGCCTCGAAGTGCCTGAATAAGAAGGATTGAAAGGATAGAGAAAGAGATAAGATTACACATTCAGCATGCCTTCGAGGCTTAATTAACTAATGGCAGCAGTAAATCAATCCTTTTAGGTAAAAGAGACTAAAATGAATGACTAACAAAATGCTCATATTGCAAATAATATTTAAAATTGTAGTCATAGTCCAAGTGTCTCAAAGAAAAAAAGAAAATAGCAATTAACCCAAACACGATGCATTATCTATAGATAGCATTTCATACACAAATTTGATGCTAAAAGTAGATAGCAATATAAACTTCAAATTGAGTTATCAAAACAAAGTATTCCATATCTAATCCACTCACATAATAATATTCATTGCATTTAACCAGCAATTGAAGCTCTACTAAATTGACCATAAACTCATTTACAAAAAATTCAACTAATACCAAAGAGGATACTCACACTGATAGCTTTCCATCGGACACTGTCATGACTCGTTTTACTTTATCAGGTTGCAACTGCAAAAGGCACATAATTATATAAAAACTAGTTGCAAACGATTAATAAAACAATGGAAAGCTCACGTCTTCAGACAATTACCTCTTGGTCAACAGCTAAGGTAGCATACACAATGGAAGCGTTCTCTTCAGATCCAAAATCCATTTCCATGTCACTGTAATTGGCATTCCATTTTTAATGTCACATTTGTCAGTACTAATTCCAGTACACAAGGGAAATCTCAGAATTTTCAAAGCAAATTTTTCTCGTGGCAGTGAATCTTTCAATTTCAAGAAATTTACACACAATTAATGTACATATTTTCACACCAGATCAGATTATTCTTAAAAAATTAAGTTTTACTATAAATATTTAACTGATTAGTTCATCTATTGAGATGTTGATTGTATCTAACTGACTAAGTGTTGCGCCTAAACAGGACTTGAACCAATTATTCGATTCAGGCAGTGCAAAGGATAAGGAAACTTATGATTTGGGTAATTCAATCCAAAAGTTAATCAAAGGGAATAAGGAAGGGAAACTTCTTACGCTGACTAGACAGATTGGTTAGAAGGTAACATGAATATACGGATGAGTGTCTGACAAGCATGATTGAGTTAAATCAGTTTGTTGACAGAGTAGATTTCTCTGAGAAGCCTAGGGCTTTAGTTGTCTTCTATTAGAACTTCGGCTCAGCACCCTTCTAGAATTGAATGACACTCCCTAGTTTTTGTTCATGGTCACTTTCACATTCCTAACCGTATAATTTCATTAGTACCCAAGAACTCGGACACGAAGTCAAATGCAATGGAAAATAGAAACTAAGAAATGCCAATCACCCGAGCAATTTCGAAACTACCCAGAGCATTCAATTATTATATCATAATCTAAAATGTACAGATATGGGAAGACCGCACAAAAGCTCAAAAATTCTAAGATTAATTGTAACAGACCTTTTATCAACAATGAACTTATGTTAGTGGAGAAATTAAAGTTTTATGGAGCAGGAAGGCTATCAAAGTATAAGCCATACTATATTTTTAAATATTTTCTTTTCCTAATATTATTAATCAACCATAAATTTCTCCTACAAAAACCTGCTCACATAACTTGTTTTGCACTCTAAAAAGTTACTTGCAAAATATGAACCATTTAATAAAATTGAATTAGAACTTAAGCTCAATAAATAACCAAAATATTTAGTCCAAAGCGACAGTTGATCTAAGAACACGCTTCAAATTACATGTCTTAGTTCATTTTACATCTCAAACGTATAATTGTGTAGACACATTACCTCCTAAAAATCAACTTTTGCTCCATTTTCACTGGCTATTACTCATGAAAAAGACACCATGAAAACAATGATACATAGATTATAGACCTCTTGTTTAAGACAATTAAAAATAATACAAGCTCAAGCTTAATACCAAGGAGAGAGAGAACCTACTCTGAAACGCTAGAAAGGAAGGGAGTGGAAGACTCAGGAGGGACTTTTATAATTTCTCCTTCGGTTTTGTTTATTCAAACAGGATTCAATTTTTTATTTGCCAGTTCTACATTTTCCATCCTAGTTTCCATTGTAGCACACGTGACAACCATACAAAATTCTGGGATCAAGGGCTATGAATGCCAGTTATAAGGTACCAAGACTATAATGAAAACGAATTAGAGAATGATATTGTATTAATGTATGGGCTTCGAACAACTGATCCACAAGCCAATGTGTATGAATTCAAATATGTATTCAGAAAAAAAAAATCAATTTGATCATGCTCCCATCTCCCAAATTCAAGTTCCAGGTCTCAAAAATTCCCAATAACATACCACTCGTTATTCTAATAGACCTTCCCAGTAACTCACAAGAGCCACATGACCCTCACTACCAACTAGGTCAGTTACATGACTTACAACCTCTCTCCAATTCCGAGTAGGTGCATTTGCACTTATACCTCCTTCTCTTGTCCACCTGGGTGACCTTGGCCTTTGTTTACGTTTGAGCATAACATAAAACAAAGAATGTATTCAACCAGGAAGCAGCTTCAAGAAAGCAGAGCAGACAATAAACCCACAAGCCGTGCCAAAACAAAAAAAACAAGACAACAACAAAATGTAGCCAAAAGACACCATGAATGTGTGGCCTGCCTGAAAGCAGTTAAGAAGGGACCAGGAACGGCCAATGAGACAGATGATGGTGTTGCAAACCGAAGCATGGAGGGTGACAGTGGACCTCGCATGTCAAACCATTTACTAAACAATTCTAATTTTTAAAGCTTTCAGTCACCTATTAGCATTATAGGTTGAAAGCTAATGGACAGGCATCAATTTGATCTTTTAAGAATAGGGTATTTAAAACTCAAATCAACATAAGTTTCAAATTTAGCTTCATCATGCACTCATACTTTTAAGAAGGTAGAATGAAAGAGGAAGTTAAAGTGCTTTTTTTACTACACAGTTCCTTGTCACTACAATCTTCTGTCCTAGATCCTCTCCCACTTTTATCTTCTTACTAGTCAATATCCTAATTCATATTAACCTCTATATGTCAACAACCAAAACATGTAATAAAACTCACTATAACAGTTAATCCATAAACACAATCTAGGCTAGATTTCTTTTATGCAGAAAAATATATCATATTTGGGCAGCAATGTGACATGAGCTGGGAACCACTGCCAAGATGTGATACACTAGAGTTTCTAATTTCACATCCTCACAATGAACTTGTTACCTAAGAAGATAAACATTTGCAAACATATTTCGAAAATTTCCATCCAAAAGTATGCACTCTATTCTAAACATCCTGCCAGGAAAAACATAAGTATAAACTAAGTTGTCTTTTACTTCTCCAGATCAAGATTTCGAGGTATAAAAAAACGTTTCTTAAAAGTAATCACCGTCTGTAATCAAGAGTTTAGAAGCACAACTGAAGTAACCATACTCAGACAAATACCATCTCATAAAAACAGACCCAAAACTCAAAACAAAGGCATAAACATTATTTGTTCAAATTCCAAATAAGAGTCTTCAAGAAACGCTTGGTATATATAGATCTATTTGGAAAGAAAAAAAAATACCTCTTATAAACTAAAGCTGACTTTTTATATAATCTATATTGTTGAAGTTCTCTTCTATTAATTATTCTAGAAGGTGGTTTTTAACTTATACATAAGCTAATTTATGCTTATAAAAGTTTCTTTTTTTCCTCTCTTATAATTGCTTTTGGAGAACTTCTTCCATTAAACCCTGTATAGCTCTTGTATTTCCTAAATTTAAGAGGGATTCTTTGGATGACATACAGGACAAAGACGTGCTAGCAACACATTATGCAATATTATTGGTTGAAATTGATTGAAAGTTACGAAATCAAGAGAAAATATTTAGATTAAAGATAAGGCCCACAAAAATGTGATTTTCCAATTGTAAAAAGTATGTTTCTAACATTTCTCCACACGGGACAGAAGGATATCAAATCAATATAGTGGGAATTGATAAACCAAATTCAAATTTTACCAAACATCATCCGGAAATAATATTCGATTCCAAATTCTTAACATCGAGAAGAACAGCGACAAACTTGACGAAGAGAAGGATAGAGAGAAAGTAAATATCAAGATAAATACACATGCCACATCATCATTTACAGAATAGAAAACGCTGGATAATTTAAAAGTTGGTAGAAAAAGTTCAGAACAGAGAGAGACCAGAAGAATTCCCATTGCGATTGGGCGTGTGGAGTGGTGGAAGCCATGTGTAACCCGACCCGACCTGCTCGGATTCAAAGAGAATCGGAAACAGAGTGGCGCAAGTCAGGGAACGTGAGTGAAGGAGGGACCAAAACTCTGAAATAGGGTTTCTTCACGGAGAGTAAGACAAAAGGAGGGAAAAGAAAACACATAACTGACTTTCTCTACTGGAGTCATCGCTTCTAACAATAAAAAAAATGAAAATACATGTTTATCTTAAATAAATAATAAAATATAAAAAGTATTTTTTTTCCATATATTCTTTTTTTAGATAAAACTCAAAAAAATATATGACTTTTAGACATTGAAATAATATTTACAAAGACTCAATAATAAAAAAAAATAAAACTATTAAATATTACATTTAATCACAACGTATCATAAAATTAATATAAAAGAAGGTTGAGTTTTCTCACTCAACTTCTTCTTACACTTGTGTTTACCTATTAAGGTGTTCAATTCAACCTAAAAAAAACACAAAGTAATTTAATCCTATGTTAATCATCTTTCTTAATTCTCTTTAGTTGTTTTAAATTACTTTACACTATCTATGATTTTGCTCTTGGTGTTGTATGTGTTTCATTTTAAGTTCTTTTCAAGATTGAAGTTAACCCATTCACATCTACTAATACTAGTTTTGAAAAAGAATCTCATCACAATTCTTCCATGCACTCCTCATTATTTCATCCATGAATAATATTATATATGCTAAGTAGCAATTTTGAGAGATTATTTTGTTTTTTACTGTTGAAACTTTTTTTTTAGATGAGAAAATAAAAAGTCTTAAACTACAATATATAAAGAATCCCTTACCACTCCCTTTCCTGATACTCATATATGACTTTGAAGTCCATGATCAAACAAAATGAAAATATCAACCCTGTCTATGTCAGTTGCCAATTTTCTATGTCATGACCCCAACATATTTGAAGAACACAAATGCCACATCTTCTAAAACACCAACATCCCCATGCAGCTTAATTATATTGAATGGTGTGAAAAAATGTTGAAGATAGACTTTCAAAAAATGAAACTGAATTTTGTAAAGTGAAGAAATAATTTCATATTTAATATATACCACATAATTTAATGAATATATATATATATATATATATATATATGGGAAAACTAACCCAAAAAACATGCCATAGATCTCCAAAAATTACCTTGGTAACAGAGAGGAGATAGGCTGATGAGAAAAGTAATGAAGAGAAATAAATAAGAAATAGAACAAAATAAAAATCATTTGGTTAGAGAAAAATAAAAAATATATATGTAATAAAATGATTATTTTGAGATTATTTTTTAAAATAGTATTATGGTTACTGTAAATATTATTCTTTTTTATTTATTGTTTTTACGGCTATTATAATACTAAACGACTTAAAGTCATCAGTGCAGAATAATTGTAATATCGATTAAAAAATGTTAATTCCTTATCAGCTATCTCAAGAATTCAGGTCAATAAGGCTCCTTTTCCTAACGTAATTGACTTTATTTTTACCCATAAATATACTTCTAGCATCGTCCATTGTTTATTTTTACCTTTCTTTTCTATATTTTTCTCCACCTCCACCTCTACCTCAGCCTCCTCAAAGCTAAACCAAGTAGGCATGTCTATATAAGAACAAAATTCTTATGGTATCTTCGGGATTAAAGTTTATAAAAAATAAAAATACCAGAACATAACCTCCATCCAAATTAGCCTACGCTACAGATAACCCCCAGTAGTCTTAAAGACTATAAACATTTCAAAATTAAGCAAAAAGATCCTTCCATCACAAGGTAGCACTGAAATAAATCTGTGGAAAATTCAAGGATTAAAAGAAGAGAGATTTATAGATAAGGAATCCAAATTAAAAACAACTATGTTTCTGCAGTAGTGCTTAACAATAATGTTCACCGAGAACGACCATTTCAAATATGTACATTCAATATTTCACGGAATTGTTGGTAATGAAATCTTTTGAAGGAAACTACAGAAGTACCAGTGCAACATTTATTTCTAGTCTTAGTAGCACACTTCAGGCACTCCCCTTCAATCCTGAATCAGCATCATAATAATTATCAGAGGAGGCTGTGCCATATTCACCTTTGTCACCATTGCCTTCTTCCTCAAAGAAGTCCTCCCGAGCATTGCCAGCTAACATGAGTGCAATCAACCACAGGAGAGATGAATCAAGGGATAAAAAGGCACCACCTCCAAGGAGACCAGTTTTGGCTGTAGGGCATTCATACTTGATATCATGGTGGACATTGCGTGACAGGTGAAGCTGTTCAGTGATTGTTGGCCATAAAAGCAAAGCTGCGGCTAATCCGGCAGTGAACCTAAGTAGATACACCATTGCATAGAAGAAAAGTCATTTATGAAAAAATGAGAACAATATACAGATAAGAAAGCCATAGTTGTCTCATTTTACAGTAACAAACCAAAATTCAAAAGTAGGATCTAATATTTCCCGTGCTGATTTTTTTATTTTCATGGGATGAATGGTATTCCCAACATCAAGTGCAACTAATGTCATTATGGTCAAAAGAACAATCTTTTGCAAAGATTTTACCATGGTGGTTTAGTACAATAGTCCATCTATTACCATTCTACGTTTAGCATGTCCAAACAATTGGTGTATTCTTCTTGAACCAACACACGACGAGTGTTTTGCATTGCAATTGACCAAATGCAAGCTCCTTTTTAAAAAGTAAAATAAGTATTGTAGATGCTACATTGAATGAATCACACAGTGATTGAAATAGGCAGAAAATCCTATGGCACACAGAACAAGCATGTTAAATGTTCCTCATAATTGCTTATATAAATCAAAATTAAAATAGCTACACAGTGAAGAATAAGATCCAGAAATGCAATCTCAAACAACACCCCAAGAATCAACTCAGTAAAATCAGTATCTATCTTTGAATCTTCCATCACCATGTACGTTGGAAAAACAATAAAAAAGTAATAATATCATGCATAATTTAATACCTAAAGATTTCATCATGAGAATTGATAGACAAAGATCAGGAAGCGGTACTTACACAGAAATGTTGAAGAACACTGTGAAAGTGGTGTGTTTAAACAGAACCCCTTGTGGAATACTCTTTCCTTGGTAAGGATAAAACAAAGACAGATACCCAACCACAGTGGATGCAACAAGAAATGCTACAGAAAGATACCCCAATGCAACGGTTGGATCACCCGGGTACTTGCAGGTGACAGAGGCACCATCCAAACCAGTCACAGGTGTTCCAGCAGCAGGCTGTAACAAAACAACAAAAATATTTTTATGTGTATGTGCATGCAAACACATAATAATGGAATCATTATCACTGGTCAATGCAGAAATAAACAGGTAAGTGAATCAACAACATGCTACTCAAAGAAATCACATTGAACCTACAAAGAACAATCACCATTGACACGATGGACACAATACGTTCATAGATGTGCATCATGTAATATATTGACCCATCAGATCAACTCGTATATGAAATGCACTTAAGAAGCAAAAATATACAATTAATCTTAATAATGTAAATGAATTTCCACAATGTTATGCTCAATTCCAAAAATATGTTTAGCCCATTTTTAAAATAGACGTTTTACATATTTCAAATCTTACTAAGAATTTCTTTATTTCACATACATCCTTATTTAATAAAAGTTGTTTAAGATGTGTGTATTGTCAGCTTTAAACTTCAATAGTTTTAGAACGGGGTGGTAACAATTTGCAAAGAAATTTAGGAGTCGTTTGTTTTGCAAAAACATTTTCTATCTTCATTTCTTGTTTTTATTTACTGAAATAGTTTTCATTTTCCATTTGCTAAGATTTAGAAAAGTTGTTTGATTTCACATTTTCAGTTTCAGTTTCAATTTTTGTTGGAAGCAGTTTCCAACTGTTCTTATGTTAGCGATGGAAACCATTACCAAATTTGAGGGAGAGATGGTTTAATGCAGACCCCATTGTTGTTCATGAAAAAGGACACACACAAAATAAATAAATAAAAAAGTATTGTCAAATTTTGGCCTTTTTCACTTATAACATTTTCTGTTTTTCTAATTCTTAATCAAACATATTTTCATCTTCATTTTCCATTTTCGTTGAAAAAATAAAAACAAAATAATACTCAAGGTAATACATAACTGTACATGTGCCCGGAGTATTATTCTCCAGACAAAATTCAAATTCTATCCTAGTAATACATGTTGAGCTTTAATGCAAATCTATATTTCTCAGGTCACTGAAATCAAACTTCAATTCTAATGGGTGAACTCCAGTTCTTCCAAAAGCACCTAAACAACTACATCTGAATTTTATCCTAACCATTTTCCTACATAAAATCGGGGAAGTTTTGCGGTATGTAATTGTAATTACGGCCGAAAAATTAAGGTGTTATAAGTCCCACAACCCACAATTAGGACCACAACAGTTTTCTGCAGTATTAAGCTTTTGAAGGTCTCCTCAACCACACTCAAAATTTAAAATCTCGCGAAATCCATATAAATTACTCTTTAGGATTCAAAATGTCTGGACCCTTACCTTCTTGTTTTCCGCCACAACTCCCAAAACGAAGGACACCACGCCCAACAATGCAACAATGAGAGCCATCTGTTTCACCGTGACCGCCATGGCGCTCCCTGCAATAACCCAATTCAAACATAATTGAGACAAACGGAGGAAAAACAACAAACAATCGAAGAAGGGAAAATCGAAACTACGTGCCTGACACGCGTTAAATTCACGAGAACAGAGCGAGATTTTGCAAATCTTCAAAGATTAAAACCGTCAGCACCGAATTCACGATCCCCTCTAGCCTCTGGTCTCGCGCGTTTCGCTGCGAGAAGACGCGTATAAATGGATGAAGTCACAAACGAGGACAAAACCGAGGACCCAAACATTGGGTTACGATATATAAGTCAACCAGCCTTGTAAGAATATTCGTATTTGGATCACAATTTTGGCTGAATTCATATTCTCTTTGCTATGCTTCGAATTTTACCAACAACCCGAACGGTAGTAACTGATTACAGTTGTTGCATAGGAATCATGAACTGTTTTTCTCTCTTTTTTTTTTTAATTTATGTCTAGATTTGGTTCATGATATTGTTAATTATAGTTATTAGTATTTGATTCCAATAGATTTTTAAATATTAAACTTGAAAGATATCTTTTTTAATAATAATACTGTTACTTTTTTTATCGTCTTAATAAGAAATTATTTTTACCGTGTATGCATGGATGTGTCAATTAAGCATAAAAGTTTATAAGTTTAACTTTTACTTTTACTTTTATTTAATTATTTTATTATATTATGTAACTAGTTTTAAAATCAGTGTAATTTTTATATTTGTATTTAATATTAAGATATATTTCTAATTGTATATATATTATTATTATCATCTTGAAAACTATTATAAATTAAAATTTAATATTATATATGTGCTTGCTGAGTTAAAGATAATTGACAAAAATAAGAAAATGAATTATGGGGTGAGTTTTATTTTATAGTTAAATCTCTCCATATAATATTTAAAAAATAATAATAAATCTAAAATATAATAACTGATAATTTATAAAATAATAACTAATATAAAATTTTATAAAAATAATTAATAACAAGATAAATAAAAATAATATTTAATGAATTTCAATAAACTATCATAATTAATTAACCTAATAAATTTGGGTGAGATAGGTACGTATTATTTTTAAGTTAAAAAATAATTCAACATGAGAATAAAATATATAGAATTAAATACGACAAAATATGCTTGAAAAAAAAGTAAATAAGTAAGGAAGGAGAGGAATTTAGAAAAAAAAATTAAAGATTTGTTTGATTTATTTTATTTTAGTTTCCTAAAAATAGTTTTCGAGATTAATTTTGAAAATCATTTTGGATGAAAAATGATGCCATAAACGATGAAGAAAAACCAAAAATTATAAAATAATTTTATGACACAAAAAATGAAAAATTGAATATATTTATTGATAAAAATATTAATATCTAATAATAAAAATAAAAATAATTTTAACAAAATATTTTTTTAACAATATTTTATTTTTTATAAATTCAAAAACAAAAAACTAGGTTAACAATATAGTCAAACAATAACAATAAACAAAATTTAAAAACAATAAACAAATAGCCTAAATTGGTTAACAAGAAAAAACTGGGACAAAAATTAAATAAGGGACAATATAGTTTCGGCTGCCAAATGTCCAATCCAGTCCGGTCCAACATAATCTTAGAAAAAAAAATTAATGCTTCAACTTATGGTCAAATTTTTTGGTTTGGCCCTATCAACAGACAAATAGATAATTTTTTATCTAATTAAAATTCTTATTTATATATTTTTTTATTTATTTTGTTTGAAAAATAATATTGTAATTTATTTATTTATCAAAATTAATTCATAATTTATTTAAATTAAATAAAATTATAAAATATCTCATATAAAATCATAAAATATTTCATTATTTATAATTAATAACAAAAAATAATAATAACATTAAAAAATTTACATAATATAAATATTATAAAATATGGAATTTGTCTAAGCCCAATCAAGAGTAGAGTTTTGCACATTTCCTACAAATAAACAATTAAAATGTCATAAAATATAAGTAATTTATTATTTAATTTTTAATTTTAATTAACAAAATAAGTTATTACATGTAACTTGAGTTGTTCATATATAAAAATTAAACATATTTTATTAGAAATATTAGATAATATATCGTTTTAGTTTTTTTTTATTAAATACACATGTTAGTAATTAAAACATTTTTAGTAAATGGTTTAAAATTATGATTCCAAATTTTATTTATTTCTCATACTCGCTAACATAGAATAATGTATTGTGTATCTCGATAAATTTTAGAGTGAATTTTTCATTGTTTCACTAAGTTATTATCCAAGGTAACTCTCACGTAGTACTTTGAAAATAATTACACTTAAGAATACATAGTCTTAAATGATTAGTCCAAGGTTTTTTTTTTACATATATACAATTTTATGTAACCCTTATATTTACGCTTATTTATCCCTTTAACTATACCATTTTTTTTTAAATAATTCCATATTACGAAGTAATGGTTTTTGTTTTTCTTTTATACACTTTTTATTTAAGGTTATCCCTCCTACTATTATTATATACATAAAAACTAAAATGATTAATAGATAAGTTATCAATTGGAGAAACACGTTTCTACAATATGAAATAAAATTTCCATAATTTAGATAACCATTGTTGCAGGAATAAAAAAAGTTAAAATTTAATTAGAAGATAAAATAACACATTGAGATAAAGTGTTGAAGGTGTACACATGATAACACATGAGAAGTTGTGATTATTTTATCTAAATTATATATATATATATATATATATTATATAACATAAAATATATTATAAATATGTATTTTAATAAAATAATATTACTTTTACTTTATTTTAAAAATAATTATTATTTTATAAACACAGGACAATCCATAAGTCTATGGACTAAGTCTTTAGGTCATGACTTAAAGGGTCTTGCTTCCTCTACCCCATAATTTCTTTACGTAGTTTCGTACCCAAGTCAAATATCTAAAATACCCTTTTTATAATTTTGTTTTTTGTCCTAACTTTTTTTTTTTCTATTTGTGTAAAACTTATGCACATCCATCATTCGACTATTTGATTTTTTTTTTTTGTTATCACCTCCATTTAAGACATTTTCTAACAAATAAAGGTAAGTAATCATTAATTTTATGTATGAATTACATGTTACTCAAATTGTCCAAACACACCAAAATTGCTTAATTTAAAATAGTATCACGAAAATAAGGTTGAATTCTAGAAAAGTCAATCCGAAAATACATTATAGATTAAGTGTTTTGGAATGTGTTTCCATAAAGTCAATACAAAAATGTATTCAAGATTGAGTGTTTCGAAATGTATTTTTGAAAAAGTCAATCTGAAAATGTATCATAGATTAGGTGTTCCAGAATGCGTTTCTGGAAAAGCTTTTTCGAAAATACATTTTGGATTGGGTGTTCCAGAACGCATTTCTGGAAAAGCCTTTTCAGAAATATATTTGGGATTGAGTGTTTTAGAATGCGTTTTTAGAAAAGTCATTCCCAAAACGTATTTTAGATTAAGTGTTCTGAAATGTATTTTCAAAAAAAACCTTTTCAGAAAGACATTATGAATTAGGTATTGTGGACATATTAATCCGAAATACATTCCAAAAAGAAAGACAAGTGTAAAGATGAAAGGAGATTTAATGTAATTATAGAGGTGTAGAAAGAAATTATAGGGGTATAAAAATTAACAGCCTTACTTAAATCAGTTAAAACAAAATTAACTTGATTCTATTTTATAACTTAAATTTTTTTAGGTTAGCCCGGCCTATTTTTTGGTGATTCCATCAAACTAAATCTATCTTCACACCTTGGAGAAAATTTTGAAAAATAAAAAATAAAAATTAAGAGTCGTTGTCGTCGAAGCAACGAAATGAAAAATCCACAGGAAAAAAAAACATATATTGTCCTCCAAGAAATTTGGGTTTACCCTCGTGAACATATGGGCCGGGTCGTTTGGGTGTGACTGTGACCCGCTAGGTTTAAGGTAGTGTCAGTAAAATCAAAACCCTCCTTCTTAAACCCTAATCACCGCCTATAAAGTCCTCCACAAAACCATTTCTACTTGTTGCGTTGAACATCACTTTGTAGCCGTTTACAACCTCTGCGTCCGAAGATGGCTCCTCCCAGAGGTGACTCATTTTTTATAATGCATTTCTTACTAAGAATATGTGTTTTTGTGTTCTGGGTGGGGATTCAAACTGTGTAGTTTATCTTTGATAATTTTGTGGTATTTGGTTACAGATTATTTTTGCCCCCTCTCCTTTACATTCTTTTGATTTTTTTTGTAGTGGTTGATGATTTGTTTTATTGATAGAAGAATGAAGTAGTGGTAACAGTTGCTTTTTATTTGAATTTGTGCAGGTCGTGGTGGTCCTGGTGGTGGAGGTTTCAGGGGTGGTAGGGGTGATAGAGGTAGAGGAAGAGGCGGCGGAGGAAGAGGAGGAGACAGGGGTACGCCGTTTAAGGCCAGAGGTGGTGGCCGTGGAGGAGGGAGGGGAGGTGGCCGTGGAGGAGGTAGAGGTGGTGGCCGTGGTGGTGGCAGGGGTGGAATGAAGGGAGGGAGTAAAGTCGTGGTTCAACCACACAGACATGAGGGCATTTTCATTGCCAAGGGTAAAGAAGATGCCCTTGTCACTAAGAATCTTGTTCCTGGTGAAGCTGTTTACAATGAGAAAAGGATTACTGTTCAGGTTATTTTCTTTCTCAATTTGCAGCACCCTGACTTGTTTTTTCGTTGGAGTTAGTAGATAAAGGTTACATCTGCATTTTCATTTTGCAGAACGAAGATGGGTCCAAAGACGAGTACAGAATTTGGAATCCTTTCCGCTCGAAGTTGGCTGCCGCCATTCTTGGTGGAGTTGACAACATATGGATTGTAAGATGTTTCACTCTAGTTATAGCAATTGCTTTGGTTCGATACTGTGTTCAATTCATTAATCTAACATTTTTCTTCTTTTTATTTGTATTACTTTTGCCTTGTACTTGTAAAGAAACCTGGTGCCAGAGTCCTTTACTTGGGAGCTGCTTCTGGAACAACTGTTTCTCATGTTTCTGACATTGTTGGCCCAGTAAGTACACTTCTCAATTGCATAATATTAGATTTGTGGAAAAGAATAGAAGGGCTGATTTGATGGTGCTATTCTTTGTATATAGACAGGAGTTGTCTATGCAGTAGAGTTTTCTCATAGAAGTGGACGTGATTTGGTTAATATGGCAAAGAAGCGCACTAATATTATACCCATTATTGAAGATGCTAGACATCCAGCTAAGTACAGGATGTTAGTTGGTATGGTTGATGTCATATTTTCTGATGTTGCCCAGCCGGATCAGGTGTGGTTTCGAAATCTTACATCATTGTTCTTGTGGGCGGCTTCAGCCTCACATTTACAGCCAAAATATATTCTGATTTTTCATAACTGTGATGTACTTCAATCAGCAGTGTCATTATTAATGTTGCTGATTTCAATTCATTTGTTCTTTGGTTTGGTTGGCAGACACTAGCCAACTACCTACTTACATTGCTTGTGTATATATTTGTAGCTTCTGTTACATTTGTCAAACTTCAATTAATTTGCTATCTTCCTATTTTCAACATGTATTAAACCAATACTTGAATAGTCTTTTAAATTGCTACAATCTATGCATATGACAAGTAACTCGGGTTCCCTTTCATGACATCATGGCTGATGCTGACCCGAGTTCCTGATGCACATTGATTTCATCTTTTCCTATTGTTTTGTGATTTTATTTTTAAACCGTCTTCAATCAGTAAGTACTGATTTTATTTTTATTTTTCCAGTTTTAATTACGGTGGTGTTTGATATGGTGTACGTATTATGCATTCTGTTTGTCAGTCCATTAGTTGATTCGAGATCATATGTGCATATGACGAGTTACTCGGATTCCCCTTCAAGACATCATGGATGATGCAGACCCGAGATTCCGATGCACCTCAATTTTTCTCCAGTATATTTGATTACTGTTTTTTTAATTTCTTTAACAGTGTCCGTCAGTTATTTGGTTACATTTTCCCCTATTTTGTATCAGGAAATACTGTTTCCTTTTTACAAAATTTAATGAATGTGATATAGCGCATGTATTTTCTTAGTTTTCTTTTTTCGTGTAATCCTTTAAAAACTCCTTATAGTATGAACATTTTGTTATGTATCAGCTTTGTTATGACTTTTTTGTGACCATTCCAGGCGAGGATTTTGGGACTCAATGCTTCATATTATCTCAAAGTGGGAGGTCATTTTGTTATTTCAATCAAGGTATGTTCATGTATTAAATCATGTTTCTTTGACATGTTAAATATGGTCATCCTGTTCACCAGTTTTCCGCTTAGTGGTGCTGTACTTTTAAACTTGGGTCTTTCATATAACATAACATGAAACCTGTGGATTTGTAAATGCTCACTCTTTAATATAGAATATTGCAACGACATAATTTATAATGATTAGGTTAAATTAATGTTTGTGCAGCATTCTGTATCTTTGGTTAGTGATTGACTTGGGTACATGCTCACCCTCTTAATATACAATACTATGACGAGATAAATTTTCATGATTAAGTTAAAGCAAAGTTCTTGAGCATTCTGTGTCTTTGGTTGGTGAATGAGTTGTCTTGTTAATTTTCTGTGTAAAAGCTGCTCACTGACTAAATTGTGTTCATTTGTATGTTAGGCTAACTGCATAGACTCTACAGTCCCTGCGGAGGCAGTGTTTGAAAGCGAAGTGAACAAGTTGAAGGCTGATCAATTCAAACCATTCGAGCAAGTCACCCTTGAACCATTCGAGAGGGACCATGCTTGTGTTGTTGGTGGATACAGAATGGCCAAGAAGAAAAAAGATGCTGCTGAGTAGATTGTTTAGCTTACCAATCTCATTTCATCAGAATTGTTTTAATTTTGTCTTAAATCCTATGTTCAAACATAGTTCTGAACTCTTTGTACCTTCAATAGTAGTTGGACTCATGTTATCTGTCCTCGATATTAACCATGCTATAGTATATTCTGCAATTATTACTTAGCATATTGAGATTGAGGTCATCAAAACCAATACTTGCACATTGTAAGAATGTTGCTAGAATTTCTCGTTAGGGTCCAGTCTCACCTAGTTTGAACTTGTGTCGAAGCTGATCAACTATTTCATTCAAAATTTTGATTGGATACCTGTTTTATAGCTGAAGAGTTATGCCATTATTTTTCCAAGTCTAAACACATGCTTTAAAGCCTATCAGCAATATAAATTCATGCTAAAACGGTTATTAGAATAAGTATCTTATATGATAAGTATAGGTTTCAAGAATGGAGTCATAATTGATAGATGTACCAACTGTAATTAGCAATTTAAAGCCCTTGGATTGCATTATCTTTATTCTGAACTCTACTTTCCAAACCTTATTTTTTAGCTTCTGAAATTGATTAAAGAAAAAGGAGTTTCGATTTCCATTTAAAATAGATTATATATAAGCACACTAAAATTAAGGTAGTTTATTGAATTGGTTAAGCCTAGTAAACATCTCACAAATGGAATAACAAAATACTTAAAAAATCATCCATGAAAAAAACTACTTGCTTTACAAGCTAATGATGTAACAGGGTTGGTTGAGGCTTGATACAATCAACTTTATGATAAAGTATAATACCTAGTTTCAGCTGATATTTCTTTAACAATTTGTCGTATATTTTTAGCATTTTTAATTCTGAATGCAGAATTTGTCAAATTTAAATCCAGAAACTAATGTGGTTAGATTTACTTTTAGTGAATTAAGTAAATTGTTCACGTGATATGAGAGATTAGCTTCAGACCACAATTAACATTGAAATGAGAGTAGGTAATAATTTCTTCTTAATTAGGTTCCAGCAAAATCAAAATTGAACATTCCTGGTGCTATTTCTCCATTCTTTTTAAGAATTAGAGTGTATGTAACGTTCAACTCATAAAGGGAATCTTCCGATTATAGAAAGCACAAAATAATCCACATCATAACGGCATTGTAATGTGCTAACAGTGCAGTTTGATTTCCTCATGTTCAAACACAAATGTTTCACAATTTCTTTGAGCTGAACAAAAACCTTAACGATGTCCATTCTTTAAATTCAGTGTAATTATACAAAATTTACTAATTATCCATTAATAAAATATTCACGTAAGGAAGCATAAGAATTACATACGAGTTCCATATCAAGTATATTAACTTGTATGGATGTGTCTCGTTTTCTATGTGTATATCGTGTATCGTATTCATGTTCATTCTCTTTTACTTTCCCAGTCTAGTCTAGATAATAAGTAGCATTTTGTGTAACCTAGCAGCACCTATCCATCATAAAAAGGTAAACCCTATTACCTAAAACTTGATTTTGCAAAGCATGCATGCTTATGACTATTGTGGAGATGTAATAGACAATAGCCACATTCTTATACTCTATTCTAAACATCCAAATCATGACACACCAACTATAGATGTTGGGTAGACCAATGCCACCTCACTTCATAAAGACATTTGCTTTATACACGCATACAACCAACCAACCATATTTCATTTTAATATAACTATACAAACAAGTTAATCAAAATAAAATTAGATTTCATGAAATAAGAGTATTCAATCTTGTGTTGATTACATTATAATAACGTATTACCAAAATTATTATAATTTTATCTTTAAAAACGTTTCAGTAATTATAAAAGAATAATATATATAAACTGGTTTTAAATAAAATAAAACTTATATTACTGATAAAATTTGTAAAATTTATGTACGTGTATTTATGATTATATATATATATATATATATATATATATATATATATATATATATTATATATATTAAAAATATTATAAAATATTAAATATTAATAATATCTTAATTATAATTACCTAAATAAAATAATAATCTAATATCTGTTTATCTTTTTTTAAGATAATAAAATATTTTAATATCTAATAAAAGATAATAAAACATGTACCAACAACTACTTATAATTTTTTTAATTCACTTAATACATTTCATAATTTTTTCAATAAATTGTTGATATGAGTAAGACTTTAATAATTAAGTAAAATTTTTAATTCTATTATTATACATAAATCAATATGATTACATTAAATTAATAATAATCAAAATTTGGACAAAAACTAGTAATCAAAAAAATTGATGAATTGTCGATAGAAGGAATATTACCAAAAAAAACTTCATAATCTAAGGTCAAATAAATATCCATCATACTTCCACTCAACATCAACCACGAGAACATAATTGGGACATATAACTTAAAAATTAAATCAAATTCTCAATGGATAGGCAAATATTTATTAAATATAAGAAAAAGATGGCAAGAAGTTATGATATTAGGGATAAAAAAAATGGATAATATAATATATGCCGAAAAGATTGACCATAACAAGCATTTTACCAGCCAAAAAACATAAACCCTCCATTTGATTTTACTATCTCAAATTTGAGATATTTTGGTTTACTATTCAATTAAAAAAACCAGTGTTTGATTAAACTTAAAAAAAATGTTTTTGAAATTAGTGTTTTTCAAAATAATCATTTATTTAAAAGTAGATATGTTATTCATTTATTAAAAAATATAAGAAAATTGTTTACTTTAAAATAAAAAAATTAAATAAACACATAAAAAAATAAACTATATATACTTTTTGTAATTCTTTAAATAAACACAAAAAAACACTCACCAAAACCAAAATAGAAAAAGATAGAGTACATCTACAGTAGAGTATGAAAAATAAGACAACATAGAAAACAAATGGAGGGTCACAGCCATGGAATTATATTATAAAATAATTAAAAAACAAAAAATGCATGATGCCATGAAAGTGATCACAATACAATACAGTAGTTGCCATTGGTGGATTCAGAAACTTTCTTCGCTGAAGACAAGTTTATAATATTTTTTGTTAAAAAATATTATAACTTTTATAAAATAAATAATGCTATGATTAAATATATATATATATATATATATATATATATATATATATTATAAATTTTAACTATTCCCTTCATCTTTCTATGTTTTAAGATGTTGCATGATTTTCCATTATCAATATTGTATAAAGCTGAAAAAAAAAGTAATACAATTTATTTTCTCTTTTATCTTTTACAAGTTCTTAGATTTTTCTAAAATAATTATTTTATAAAAACAAGACTAAATCTTATATGGGACGAAAGCAAAAATCACTAAATATATTAATGTAGAAAACCAAATATTGTAGGATAATTGCCCTTACACCCCTTTATATGTAGATTCTCAAATGTATGGTTTTTAAAGTTAAAAAAAAAAAAAAAACTTATTTGAGATGGAATAATGATCCCTTATTGTTTGTGCAACGTCATAATTTGTTTATGAAGAAACGAGAATCAATCCTATAAATAATATATTTTAAAATAAAAATTATTCTATTAAATTATTTATTAATTTATTTATTTAACTACTATTTAACGTTCATATGCAATTTTCTTTCATTTCCTCGTAAGATTTATTATTTTATCTCTCTCATCTCTATTTTATACGTTTCTTATTTCTCTCCTCTGCCATTCAATATTCTAATTAAACTGATATATTTAAATTTAATAAAATTGTATTATTATAATTTTTTAAAATTAATATTAAAACTAAAAAAATATCAATTAATTATTTAAAATCACGATGACAATAAATAATTATTTACTATAATAATTAATTTTAAATTATTTTATTTAGGATAATAAATTATTTTAAATTATTTTATCATAATAAATTAATTATTTATCTAATTAAACAATGACAAATAATATGAGTTAAATTTATTTTTTATTTAGTAATTTAATCTAATTATAATTAAATTGAGTTACGAAGATTAATCATATTAAGTAATTTAAAAAAATATTTATTTTTTCTTAATAATTACAACAAAATAATTTATAAAATCTCAAATTTATAATATAATATTTTTAAAAATATAATATATTAAATTATAATATTTTTTTAATTTTAAATAAATAAATAAACAAACTATTTTAACACCCAACTTTATAAATAACTCTCCAAACAACTTGATTTCAATATTACAATAATAATTTTAAATTATTTTTATTTTTATTAAATCTTATTATTATTATATTAATAAAAATAAGTTGTAGAAAAGATTGTTAAAAGAGAGAAAAGTTTAAAAAATAAAGAATTTGTTTTGCAAGTCGAAGTAAGCCATTTTATGTTAAATTTAATCTATATTATTATCTTTTAGATATTATATTCTAACTCCTATTTTCAACATCCGCATATATTATTAGGTATTTTTATAGGTTTAACATATATATATATATATATATATATATATATATATATATATAAAACGAAGTCAATCATAAAAAAAATTATATATAATGAAAAATTTTAAAATATTAAATTATATATCTATCTTATTTATAAATTATTATTATTTTCTAATTAATATAAATATCATTTCTTATTTAAGTTTACTGTGGTAAAGTAGATTAAAAAGTAAAAAATACACGTATTGATATTTTGAGATTACGTCAGTCTATCTATTAATATTTTTTAATATATATATATATTATTCTTAAAAGTTCGAGAACATCCTGGTGAATGGTGACTGATTCGTGACTCTGCTTCTTGGTACACTTTGTCGTTTGTCCTTAATCTGAAGTGTTCTGTTGAGAATCTTTGATAACATCAATTTTTATCAGGGTATTTTTCAACTCCGTTTAGGATTTGCTTCAGCCACTTCGAGTCTAAAGTATAACAGGTGTACCTGCACAAGATACTTTCACATCCAAATTAGTAATATTAAATGATTTTTATTATTATTTTACTTTCCATATCTTATTTATA